GGGTTTGAACCACCAGCCTTCTGGTGAGCAGTCAAGTGCCTTAGGCACTATGCTACCAGAGCTCCTAACATTGTGATTATCATTACAGAATCCACATTTTCAGTTACCATTTCAAAAAAAGACCTTTCATTACAATAATCCCAGAGAAATAAAATACTTTGTCTTCAACTATAAATGAAGGATAAGGAAAACTCAGGGTGAATAAACATATATTTTTACTTAGAAAGTCCTATTACCCAGTGTTTTTGATGGCTCTTATTTTCTGGCTTTTAAAAAAATCATACCAGAGAGCTCCAATAATTCTCTCCCTCCTTACTCTCTCCTGTACCCCTGTCGCCATTCATTCCCATTTATTCTATTTTTGGTTCTGATCAATACAAACTTGGGCCTTAGGGAACAACGGATGGGTAGTGGGAGAAGGGAGCAGGAGATAAAGGCTATGAATATTCAGTGAGTAAAAAATTAACTTTCTTCTCTTCTGATTAAAAAAAAAAAAAAAACTCACTGCCATCGAGTCAATTGTGACTCATAGTTACCCCTCCTTGGGTTTCCAAGGCAGTGAAGTAGATTGCCCAGTCCTCCTTCTGAGGAGTAGTTGGTGGGTTTGAACTGCCAGCCTTCTGGTTAGCAGTCAAATGCCTTAGGGACTACACCACCAGAGATTGATGAGAATCATGGCTTAAGAGACCTTAGAACCTGAGGTTAAGATCAGTCAAAATGGGAGTACAACATCAGACATGGTTGATATCTATTTTACCAACAGCAACAAGGATAATTCTGAGGAAGAGATGAAGTGGTGGGAGTAATGGCCTGTACCATATTCCGGACTGAGACATACTAAATACAGGTCGGGCAGTAGTCTGCAGTAGAGATGCTCCCAGGAGCCGAGGGTGGGAGGAGGAGTGAGAGATCCTGTCCTTTAAGCCTGCTCCATCTCACAGGTTTCATTAATCGGTCAGTGGAAGTTCTACTCTCTATTTTGACTCTGCCATTTTGACTCTTACTTATGACTAAAAGCATTTCACCATAAATTCTTGTGGATTTATAAGGCCTTTTTCTCTATAGAGGCCAAATATCCACTCTCATCTATGTGGGAAACCCTGGGTGGTACAAACAGTGCCTTTGGCTACTGACTGAAAAGTTGGAAGTTCAAGTCCCCACAGAGGCTCCTCAGAAGCCTGGTGATCTACTTTCAAACAATCAGCCATTGAAAACACTATGGAGCACAGCTCTACCGTGACACACATGGGGTCACCATGAGCCAAGATCAACTTGATGTCAATTGGTTTTCTAGTCTTGTCTGTTGCAAACATTTTTCCCAGATTGTCATTTGCCTTTTTATTTTGTAAATGGTGTTTTCCCAGCTATTTTGTGATAGAATATAAAATTTTACCATATTATGCACCTTAAATTTTATGTTGAGAAACAGTTTTTCCCCATTATATTTTTAATGTTATACCAAATAATGTATATTATCACCAAAACCAAAAACCAAGCCCACTGCTATTGAGTTGATTCTGACTCATAGTGACCCCCACTGGGTTTCCAAGGCAGTAAATCTTTACAGAAGTAGATTGTCCCATCTTCCTTCTGCAGAGTGACTGGTGGGTTTGAACCACTAACCTTCTGGTTAGCAGTCAGATGCCTTAGGCCCTGTGCCAAATCAAGTAGTTGTTTATTCTTAAATACAAATTTTCCCTGTTGCCTGGAATGAATACTTGTTGTTGTTATGTGCCGTCGAGTCAGCCCCGACTCATAGCGACCCCTCCTTGGGTTTCCGAGGCAGTATCACTACGGAAGTAGGATTGCCCAACCTTCCTTCCGAGGAGTGGCTGATGGGTTTGAACCGCCAGCCTTCTGGTTAGCAGTCAAGTGCTTTAGCCACTATGCTACCAGAGCTCCTGGAATGAATACTAACAAATATAAAAAGCCTGGCCATCTCCTTCACAAGGAAATAATCTAACTTTCTAATAACTTATGACTTTAGTGACAGGTGATAATAATGGTTATAGCCCACATTGCCATTGTTTTATTTTACAATTCTCAAAGCACCTTCACATATATTAAGATTATAAAAAGAGAACCTAGGCACTTCTGAGGGCTACAAGTCTGCAATGCCTTACCCTCTGTGGGCCTCTCCCGCCTGCCTCAGTGAAGGAATAAAGTATTCATAAATCAAAAGCACACAAGGTTGTTGCACTGGGTTCATGTTTAACTTGCCCGGTCTTATATTTCATATCTGAGACCCAGATTCTCCAAATACTTTAATGTGTTTATGCTTCTAATCAATACTAAATTCTTAATTAAATAATTATATGTTATGTGCTAGATACAAATCTTTAAAAAGAGAGAATCCTTTATTTTAAGGAGCTGCTCTACTTGGAAAGTAATAGCAACACACTTTTTAAAAACAATAATGATGGTTTAAATTTAATTACATATCATTGTGTCATATTATATAAAATATACACGTGCTGTGTGTATTTTATGTAAGCAATATATTTTCTTGTCTTTTTTCATTGAAACTGTCCCTGATCGCTTCACTAAATTCTATGGAAAGATCTTTTGGGAATCAAATAAGAACAGAACAATGACACAGAGCATTTATCCAGCATTTACTGCATGCCACTACAGTACTGAATATTTCACATGGGTTGTTTCATTCAAAATCTGCCCGCCCCACCAGCCCTGCCCCCTGCCCCCTGCCCAGCAACTCTCTGAGGGATTTACTACTATGAATCCAATTTTATAAGCCAAGAAAATGACATATAGAGCAGTCAAGCAACTTGCTCAAAGCCACATAGTTCATGAAGGGCAAAGCTAGGATCCAAATCCAGAAGGTCTAACTGCAGACTTACTTACCCTCAAGCACTTTGTTATACTATCACCTCGCATTGTCTGTTGCAACTCAGGCTGTGTGAGAACATTTGTCAAGAATGGTCACTCAGGCAGGAAAAGAATAATGCTGTTGGTGGTGGTTTTTGTAACTTGCCATGGAGTCAGTTTCAACAGCTGGCGACCCCTGTGTGTCAGAGCAGAACCGTGCTCCATAGGATTTTCAAGGCTGTGATCTTTCAGAAGTAGCTTGCCAGGCCTGCTCTCCAAGGTGCTTCTGGGCGAGTTTGAACTGCCAACCTTTCAGCCAGTAGTCAAGCACTTAATCCTTTGTACCACCCAGGGACTCCTATGAATAAAAATAGCAAACACAAATATAGCCCTTTTTTGGGGGGGTTATCATGGTGCTGTGGTTAAATGCTCAGCACCTAACAAAAGGTCAGCAGTTCAAACCTACCAGCCATTCCACAGGAAAAAGATGTGGCAGCCTACTTCCTTAAATATTACAGCTTAGGAAACCCTATGGGGCAGTTCTACTCTGTCCTATAGGGTCACTATGAGTCAGAATCAACTCAATGACAATGGGTATGTGCCAGACACCTCTCTAACCCAGGGTTTCTCAACCACTGCACTACTGACATTTTAGGCCAAACCATTCTTTATTGCAGGAAGACTG